TTATTATTATTATTCCTGCGATGCTCATGGTGATGCTTGTGCAAGTGGGGACCCGAATGTGCTTATGGTGACGCTCACGCAAGTGGGCCTGTGAATGCCTGCAATGCTCGTGACGCTCGCATTAGTGAGGCCACAAACACCCAGGACAGTTGTGGCGATGCTCACGAGTGGCTGCGAATGCCTGAGATGCTCGCATGAGTGGGGTTGTGAACGCCCAGGATGTTTGTGGTGACGCTTACACAAGTGGGGCCATGAATGCCAGTAATGCTTGCGCGAATGGAGCCACGAACACTTGCAATGCTTGTGGAAGTGGGGCCATGAATGCCAGCCACTGAGGCGGCCCGGTGGCCAATAGGTCGCAGCCCAGTAGTGGGCCATGGCCCACAGGTTGGGGACTCCTGCTCTAATTCTTGTATCACCTTTGTTTCCCTCTCCTGAACCTGCTTTTACCTGTCCTTCTAGTGATGTGCCTTGAAATGTTGCCAAAATAAAATAGAAAATACTATGGATGCACTCTTAAGAGGTTCATGGGAAGAGTCATACAGGTAATCCTTGACTTACAACCATAATGGAGCCTGCCTAATAATGGTCGTAAGTCATGACAAGAGTAAACCTTGTGACTGATCCAGTTTTACCACCTTTTTTTTTTGCAATGGTTGTTAAACAAATGTTCCAGTTGTTGGGCAAATCAATTAACTGAACCAATTGTTTGCCAAGGGGCTGGTTTTGCTGAAAAAAGAGATGTAAATTCCTTTGGTTACTTTGGATCAGTCACTTATTCCTGGACTGATCTATCTCATAGGGTTGGAAGAGAATGGAATATATGCTGCTTTGAGTTCCTGAATAAAAGACAAAATATAAATCTAATCAATATTGTTGATGGCAACTTGTTCAATCCTGGATGCGATCTCTCAGCAGTTCCATGGCATTGTTGATTTTGGATAACGTGGCCCTCAGGATTCCCCAACCCAGGTCATTGACTAAAGATCAGACAGGAGCTCCCAACATTTTTACATCTTTCAGCAAGGACTGGAGACCCGGAATTGTGGTGTTTGGAAAGCTCACTTGCCAGTTGATCCAGAAGGATGGTGCGGTGGCTTTCATTAAATGCTCTTGAAAGTGTTATAAAATCCGTTATTGCTAATAGGTAGTGGATTCTGTCCATTTTCTTGTTACACCATGCAGAAAATGCCCACTGGTTATTTCTTGGAAATCCTTCCTGACTTGTCTATAGGTAGGGGATCTTTTCTTCTTTCAGGGTCCTGTCTCTTTTGAGGAAGTGGCTGTGTATTTCACCGAAGAAGAGTGGGATCTTCTAGATTCCAACCAAAGGACCCTCCATGGGGAAATCATGCTGGAGAATGCTAGGAGTGTGGCCTCTGTGGGTAAGGAAGCATCTGGGTTCTGGGTTCAGATAAAGGGAAAAATATTTTCTAGTTAGAAGTAATTTATTCTCTCTTGCTTTCCCCAAGAACTGCCCAAACCAGAATTTGTTTCCTGGTTGGAAGGAGAAGATCCATTCTTCTGGAATTCTGAAGGTGAGAGATCAGCAGGAACCTACTCAATGTTTTGGGGGAAAGTGCCCTGAAGAATCTTTCAGATGGTGTTTTAATATTGCCAAGAGAAATGGACTTTTGGAAGGACTATGTTTTGCCTGATGATTCTGCCTCTTCTTCTCAAATGCATTAATTTCTTGGCACATCGATGGCACAAGGACTGCCCTTCCGGTAGAGCTGTTTCTGACATACTTTCCTAGTTGTGGGAATTGTGGAGGTTTTTTTTTAAAGATCCCTTAACCTTGATAGATCTTTAAAGCAGTGGCCCCCAATCTTTTGGGTCTCAGGGACCGATTCCATGGAGAGAGGTTTTTCCATGGACCGGAGGGGGCATGGTTTTGTGTGCTGCCTGCATCCTATAGATGGGGCTTAGCTTGTTTACGCGGTCCAGTTTCTGGCATTCTGCAGACTGGTGACGGTCCACAGATCGGGGTTTGGGACCCCTTCTCTAAAGAATCCATTTGGCATATCCCTTTTCTGGGGATTCATGGATCCCAATATCTATCCTCCTGTTCTTTCCTCTTTCTGTTATGCAAACTGGAAGGAGGTGAACCTGCAGTGCCATGCTTTGGACTGGCAGTTCTGCCACATGCTTTTTCCAGTTTCATGTGGTCTAGAGATTTGTGATGTCTGCTCAAGAGTAGGAGCTCACAAGATTCACTAATATTCCATTGGAGGGAAAGTGCTTGAAAAGCAGTAGCTCTAAACAAAGATTTCTATGGAGAGTCTCAATCATCCAGGTCACAGTTGTCCCAAAGGTGCTTTTTCACAAGACAACTGGACTTCGTTTTTCTTTGAAGATGTTTTGCTTCTCACCCAAGAAGCTTCTTTAGCTCTGAATAGATGGTGGGGCTACACACAGCACAACATAAGAGAACAAACCCATCAGGACAAGATTCAGCAGTCCATCTGCATTTAAAAGACAAAGGCCACTCTTTCGAAGACAGCAAAGTCCTCATTTTGGACAGAGAGGGCCGCTGATTTGAAAGAGGGGTCAAAGAGGCCATCTATGTCAAAACTGAACAGCCCTCTCTCAGCAGAGGGGGGGATATGACATCATTATCTTCAGTCTACAAGACAGTCCTTTTAGTAGTTCCAAGAAAGCTCCACACCCATTTGCACCACTCAGGTGACCGACAACACAGATAAACCTCCAGATGGCCTCAAGGACTCTCTAAAACAGGGGTGTCAAACTCAATTTCACTGAGGGCCTCATCAGCATTGCAGTTGCCCTCAGGGGGCAGGGTGGGTGTGGCCAGGGTGGGTGCAGCCTACTGGGTGGGCGTGGCCTACTGGGTGGGCGTGACCAGCTCTACATCATTCTTGTCAAGGGTGCCTGTGGGGGCCTGGGCAGGAATGGGACAGATCTGAGGGTCTCTGGCAGAAAGGGGTGGGACCAGGGCAAGTGCCAAGATATGGTCCACTGGAGGAGCCTCACCGTTCCTCTCAGGCCATGCGGGGGGTGCTTATGGAGCTAAGACTGAATGCGTTTCAGCATAGATGGCCACCACAAAATTGTACATTGGCTCCCAACTGGCCTGGGCCAGGGCCAAGGCAGAGGGGGCCGTTCCCTCACTGTTTCCAGGATGGCTTCGCGGGCCACATGAAACCACTTCGCGGGCCGCATCCAGCCCCCGGGCCTTGTGTTTGACATGTCTGCTCTAAAAGAATGCAAATGACCAGCTATCTGCAAGGAGTATAAATCCTTCCATTCCCCACCATCCAGTCAGAGCTGAAGAAGCTTTTTGGATGAAAAGTGAAATATCTTCAAAGAAAAACAAGAAAAGCCAGTTGCCTCATGAAAAAGCATCTTCTAAACCAAGATTCTCTTGGAGAAACTGGCCAACTCAATTTTACAGGCAACCTGGGGAGAATAGGACTCCTCACTGCCAAATTAATGTAGATCAGTGTTACAACATGCATTTATTATTTGACCCAAAAGTCTGAATTCAGATGTGGCCTGATGCATCTAAAATCTGCTGAATGGAAGCTGGTAAAATGGAGATGTTTTCTGTATTGTATGATTTCAGTCTTACAAAATTTACAGTAAATCTTTGTCAGTTATCTTGTTGGGCTGTTGGTGAGTGTATTTGTGTTTGGAACTGATGAGGAGCAGTTGCAAGATTTGGGTTTGGCTAGTCTAGAAAAAAGAAGGACTATGAGTGACATGATAGCAGTATTCCCGTATTTGAGGGGATGCTACAAATAGGAGGGGATCAATTTATTTTCCAAAGCACCAGAGGGCAGGACAAGAAATAATGGATGAAAACTGACCAAAGACAGAAGCAACCTGGAATTAAGGAAAAACTTCCTGACAGTGAGGACAATTAACCAGTGGAACAGTTTGCCACCAGAAATCATGGGTGCTCCATCACTGGAGGTTTTTAAGAAGAGACTGGACAGCCATCTGTCTGAATTGGTATAGGGTCTCTTGCTTGAGCAGGGGTCTAGACTAGAAGACCTCCAAGGTCCCTTCCAGCTCTATTCTGATTCTGAATCCACTTTACATTCTGTTACAGCAGCTTATTCTCATGCAATATGGATTTGCAATAATCTCGGGCTATTTTTTGCCAACCATTCTTCTTTGGGTAAATTTAAACCAATGGCTGGAAGACAACTTTTTTCCAATTGGGCCTTCCTTTTATTGCAGGTTTCCCCCCCCCCATCCCCAGGCTTACACATTTCCTCATTAAATCATATTTTCAAAAATGATATTATCATAAAAAAAATGGGAAAAGTGCGTCTGTACTAAAATCAAGTGAAAATTGGACCTAAAAATATTGTTTGAACTGGCAGCATATTCAAAAACTACCCTGTTTCAGGGCACAGGAGATAAAACTACATAGGCCCCACATGTTGGAATGGGCTGGCCCCTGGAAATATAGAGGGCCTCAGAACTCCTTTAGTTCTAATGGTATTCAATTTCAATGGGCTTTTGATTCATGATGTGATTGTGAATGCAATAATCCCTGGCTATTCTCCCATTTATTATGATTTTTTCTACTGTTGTGTGCTGCCCAAAGCTATGTTTGTGTAGGATACAAACACTGTAAAATAATAAACCAAGAAACATCTTCCCCAAAAGTGCTTTTTCACGAGGCAACTGGACTTTGTTTTTCTTTGAAGACGTTTTGCCTCTCATCCAAGAAGAAATGTCTTCAACGAAAAACAAGAAAGTCTAGCTGCCATTGCACCTTTGGGATAACTATGAGCTGGATGACTGAGAATCTCCATAGACAAGAAACACCCAGAAAAACTGCAGGGAGCATGGAAATGCAGAAATATAGATGCAACTAAGATTATTCTCTAATGATCTTCTCCATTTTTGCTTTAAATTTCTATTTTTTTCTCTCTCTCCAGCAGGTGATGGGCAGAAAACCAAGAAGTGCATGGAGCCCCCTCTGATGTACTTCGATCATAATTTGCTTTCAAGTTCATACACAGGGGAGAAACCCTACAAATGCTTAGAATGTGGAAAGGGCTTTAATATGAGCAGCCACCTGCTTTCTCATCAGAGGACTCACACGGGGAAAAAGTCGTATAAGTGCTTGGAGTGTGGAAAGAGCTTCACACAGAACTTCAGCCTGACAGTCCATCAAAGAACTCACACTGGGGAAAAACCCTATGAATGTGTGGACTGTGGAAAGTGCTTCAGCCGCAGCCAGCATCTCATTCAGCACAGAAGCATCCACACAGGGGAGAAACCATTTCAATGCACTGACTGCGGAAAGTGCTTCAGCCGCAGCCAGCATCTTGCCCAGCATCGAAGTATCCACACAGGAGAGAAACCGTACAAATGCATGGAGTGTGGAAGGCGCTTCAGCAATAGCGGAAGCCTAAATACACACCAGAGAACTCATACTGGAGAGAAACCCTATAAATGCCTCGAGTGTGGGAAGAGCTTCAGCAAGAGCAGTAACCTTACAGCCCATAAGCGGATCCATACGGGGGAGAAGCCCTATCAATGCTTGGAATGTGGGAAGAGCTTCAGCAAGAGAGGGAACCTTTATAAACACCAGACAATCCACACAGGAGAAAAACCTTACAAATGCATGGAATGTGGAAAGAGTTTCCGGATGAGTGGGAATTTTTATAAGCATCAGAGAATCCACACAGGAGAGAAACCATATGAATGTCTGGAATGTAGGAAGCGCTTTGCTCTTAGGCATCAGTTGACTGCGCATCAAAGAACTCATGCTGATGAGAACCCATTTCAATGCTTAGTGTGTGGCGAGGACTTTAAATATAGTGAGCAACTTACTCAGCATGAAACCACCCACACAGCATCCAGCCAAGATGGAGACTTAGTTGGAGAAACTTCAGCTCACTTTGAGACTTCCTATTTCTCTTTGTATCCTGACAATTGTTTAATCTCCTTTATTTGGTCTGGAAACCGGTGATTATTGTCTCTTTTGGTATTTGGGGCAGTTTGTGAATAATCTGAACCAAGAGACATAATAGAGTCATTGTAGTCCTCTCTCCTGGCAACATCTGAATGGAAACAGCTTATAATTGAAAAATAACTACAGCTTCAATCTTTTTTTTTAATGATTGGTAATATTTATATTGTAAACAATGTAGTGGAGAATGGGCTCAGTCAACTGGAAGCCACCCATAACAGAACTGCAGAAGGCAATTACATTCTGTGATTGACCTGGAATCTCATCCAGAAGGGCTTCTAGAAGGCTCTTTTTACAACAGATGTGTGATATGAAATATCAATTCAGACATGAGTGAGAATTGGATTCATCTTTCCACAGATATTCATGGGTGGAGCCAGAAATGCCATATTCATCGGTGTTATGCAAATGTGGCCTGTAATATCTATGTGGCTTCAACTGTTGCCTTTTCTTGTCCCCATTGCATTTATGCGCTTTGATGAATTATGATAGACTTCCTTATCTTAATTTTCAAAGATCTTCTGAACCCTGCTCATGTTAACAGAAAGGCTTAAATGGGATCCATTCAAAATCTCTTAGGATGATGCCAAACAGATGGCTGATAATTGGCAGACTTTTTCAAATGACATCCTTTTGGTGAAGAAGAATCTGAAATATTATATTTTTGTTCCTGCAACTTTCACCATCCAACAGATTTTCCTCCAGATATGGCAGGTTTTATCATCTACTTGGGTTGAAACCTCTTTGGAGAGGCTCGCTCATGATCTGGTCTTAATCGGACACCAGTTCATAATAAAATGTCAATACACTTTTTTCTGATCTAACTGGATCTCTCACTCAGCCAATGAGTCTTTGAAAGCGCTTAAAAGTTACTTAGACTTGTTACAGTTTTATTGTAGTCTTGTAACTTCTATAGTGATGTAAATCTTTTTTACAGAGTTTTCTGTAATTGCAGGTATATAATTTATACTTTTTATCGTGGTTTCTTTTTAAGTATTTTATTGCAGCAGTGAAATAATTTTGCCACCTTTCTGTGTTTAGTAGGAGACTGTAGATAAAGAGGTGCAAAGAATGTTGCCCATGTCACAGAAATAAGGATTTTAAAAACTTTTTTCATCCTCTGACTCTGTTCCCACAATACCTACAACCTTCTATTATTTTTAAATTTAGAAGCTGGGTGACTCCAGGACAATTTTGGGAGACTAACACTTTAAAAAAGAAAACAAGAATCATGTATGTCCAGACAAGCCATACCACATGGACCATAAAAATGCAAATGAGAGACCTAAATGTATTTTCTTGCTGTCTGTAGGTCCCAAACTGTGTGTTGGCAGTTTGTAATCACAGATGATTTGGTCTGCATAATCATGGCCATTTCAGCCATTCCCCCCTTGCTACTAAGAAGGGAGGGAGGCTTCTGCTTCCTGCCTTATTTCCTTTTTTTTATCCAAACAAAATAATTTTTAAAAAGCAAAAAAAATGCATATGACTTGATTCAGGATGGAATTGCCATGGTCAAATTCAGGGAGATTATCTGCCTTCTGCTCATATCTGCTTGGGTTTATTTACATCACTTATCTCTGCTGAAGATGCATATGAAAATTGAAAAGGACATAGAGACAGCATTCCTAGAAAAAGCCCAGTTTTGCAGCATTTCTAAGACTAGAAATTTAAGTAACCTCAAAAGTGGAAGATTCTACCCTGTTTGGTTGGATGGAGTTAGTTTAACCTAGGGATGTACCAGATAGTCTAGAATCTAGATAAACAAAATGGGTTTCTTTATTTTAAAAGCCAACTGAAATACAACTCTAGTTAAAAGATATTCATGATGAATTAAAAGTGGAAAAGACACAGAAATCAGGGAAGATCATGTGGAATACACTGTGCTGAGAACTGTTCACGGGAGAGAGAAAATAATGAACGCAGCCTCCTTGCATTCAGCACATAACATTGCTCTAGGATCCCTTGAATTTTGTTTCAGACCAAACCTAGAACCACCAAGATGTTTCTGTTGAACCATGGCCAACACAAAATAGTTTCACAGAAGTTGGAAAACACAGTGGTTTGTTTTGGGTTCCAAACCAAATACATGTTGTTTTATGTCAGTCCTGATTGGATCTCTTTAGGGCTAAATCTAATCTGACTCAATTTTAAGTGTATGTTGTAGAGATAGAGCTTCTTTTTAAAATGTTCTTTGCTTTTATCAGTCATATGATGAATTGTTATGCTCTTACATTGTTTTTCCAGCTGGAGTTCATGAAGAATACATTCTTGTTTTTTTGTTCTTAATATTTATAGTAATTATTTATGGTAGCTTCCTTTGTAATAAAAAGTTGAAAGGATTGTAGTTGCCTTCCAAATGTTTACAAATGTTAGCTAAGTTGAAAAAGGGGAAGGATCAACTGACACAGCCTGTTTCCAAGAGATTTTTCACTTTTTCAATGGGAAATAAATTTTACTAAATGACAAGGCAAGGATGTATTTATTGGAAGCAAGACAGAAATGATGCTATTTTAATTAGGAAATCCTGTTTTATCTGTTGATCAAGATTTTCCCAATGAAGTAGAGTTGCTGTTTGATAACCTAGTCTTTAATTGGGAAAGTAGAAAGAGAACAACTGCAGCAAGATGTATGGACTTGATTACAAACAGTGAATTCACCTTTGAGATAGCTAAAAGGCCAAGTTGAAGACAGATCTTCCTGGAAAAAATTCATGTGGTCACTAAGAGTCAACATACTTGTGGCATGTAATTAACATTTGATTGGTATATCAACTCAGAATACATGTGGTCCAGCTGAGTGTTTCAAGCAAGTAGATATTTGGTTTCAACATCTGTACACTGTGAATGTTGACCATATTATAATTAGTTTCAATTCCAATTTTGGATGATTTTCTAAATTGCAGTATCCTTAAACACTCCATCTAAATTACCAAAACTGTTTTCTAGCTCTAAACACTAAAAGTCTTCCATATTTAATGTGTGTGAATGTTTCTTCAGTAACGTGAACTGCGCTTATTTTTAGTATGGTGTTTTCCTGCATACTGTCATGTGTGATACATTTTATAAATTCTTCCAAAAGTTCATTTAAATCGGGTTAACTCAAAATTCCACTGAAGCATAAACTGTGTATTATGGCACAGGAAGCAGTCCAAGCAAACATTAAAAAGGTGGGGAGAAAATACATTTTCTTTGAAATTGAAAACAGAAAATGACCCACTTAATTTTAATGGGAATTGATCAGCATATCTGTTTGCTCTCTTGAAACGCAGAAGTTGCTTTGATTGTACAACTGTCTCAGATGCGAAAACATTCTTGGGCCACTTCCCACTGAATTCATGAACTGTAGATTATTTTGTTCTCCCCCCCCCAAAAAAAGAAAAGTGTATTAATGATGAAAAACTTTATAGAAATAGAATATGATTAGAAGATAGCAAGAGCAAGAGCACTTAAGACTTACACTGTATGCTGCTTCATAAGATACCCATGAAGTCTGCAGTTGTTAGGAATTTGAATTCCCAAGTACTGGATCTGAGGAAAGAAGGGCATTTTTTTAATCTATAAAGCTTCCATTAGGGATTAGGCCAACATGACTTGCATTAAACATTATTGTTGGCAAAGGAGTCAGAAGAATCTTTATAAATTGATTGGGTTTTAATTTAGAAATGCCCATCTGTGAAATCCTATATCCTGCAAGATATATAGGAGCGCGCACCAAAATGATTTAGGGTGCAAGTCTTACAAATAACTATCCAGAAATGCGCTTTTGCCGCACACAGGGAAAAGAAAAAACAATTTGATGGGAGGGAAATCTTAGCAAATCTCAGGGAGGCCATTTGGGATATTTTTTGGCTCTCCAATACAGGGATCAAAAGTGTCTTACTTGGACTCAAAAGCCCTAAAACCTGCCCATTTGGTTGAGTTTTTGTATTTGCCGCAAGACGTTTATTTTAATAAAGGAAAGCTTACCAATAAAACTGTAAATTACCACATGCCTTTAATCTTAAACTATTTTCCATCATAGCCATCCATTTCCTATAGGCCCTCTCTCCACTAAATTCCATAAAAATCCAGTTTCACTATATTCTCATACCTTTCCATTCGGTATCTCCGAAATATTTGCTTATGGCGGACTTCTCTAATTCTGTCGTATTAATAATGACCGTCTGTCTCATTTTCCCACCGAGCTCAAGTTTGGTGTTTTTTTTTATCTTTTTCAGTTTCTGTTTTCTAGTTTTGTTCGGTTTAATTCATCTTTCTTCGCCTTTTCGGCCCGGTTCCTCCTGACTCTCGTCTGAGGGAAACTTTCCCCTCAGGCCGATCCTTGAGGGAAGCCAAAAAGCGCCTCTCCCTCCCGGGTTTCCTCAGCTGCTGCCTCTTTCCCAGCTGCCTCTCTTGAATTTAATTCAATTTAATTTGAATTTCACTCTTTTCTGGAATCTGGACTTTGGGTCTCTTCCTTCTGCCTTTCTCTCAGGAGCTTCGCGCCGTCAGAACTCACAAACGGCCGTTTACTTCTTCCCGCCTTCTGCCAACGGTTCTGTTTGATTGGCAGCTGCGTAGTCCTGACGACAGGGGCGGGCCAAAAAGGGAGGAGGAGGAGGGAGAGGCGGCTTAGAACCTGCTGCGTCTGTCTGCCCGTCCTTTCACAGGTGACTGACTCTTCCGGGATATAATATATATATATAATATATTAAATGGTACAGAATTAGAGCATTCCCTTTAAAAGATGGATCCAGCTTCTGCTCCTCCTCGGAAAATTCAGCAATTTATGTATGTTTTATTTAGGCAAGAAAAACCAAATGTATAGGTATAAGTATAGGG